CACAGTCTTTAAGAGATCACATATTAAATATATATATAAACCCTTATATATGAACGCTATATGAACCGGGCCTCAGTTTACACCCGAATCGCCGTCTCTGTTTCGTCGTCCGTCCGTCAACACTTGTCTAATGCTTATTTGCCCTTGGATTTTAAGTTCCACCATGCTGCAGTAATTTCGTGAGCAAGTTGTTCGGCCCTAAGATCTACTTTGTGTTTCTTGGCACACTTTTCGATCTTAATTCACAAACCCACTCCTCGACCATTCGAATCTCATCGAACAAAGCGTATAGAAGAAAATAAGATGATAAAATTTTTTATCAATGAACTGTCACATGTATGTCCATCTAATCAATTTTGTAAAAATTGATTATTACCGGCCTGCGTGCATTCTCATCTTATCTCTTGGCATGCCCAGCCGTGAGCAGCCATATACTAACATGGTTGTTTATCTCAATCAATAAAGTCGACCATTTTATTACTGCACTTAGCTATACGAATATAAAGTTGTCTATATAAAGACATACATAAATTATGTCTATATATATGATGATGTTTTAACTTTCCAATAAAGTGATCGAAATATTCAAATTATAAAGTCAAACGCATGGTTTCACTTTTTCGCTCATCTTAAAAACGAAACGTATAACAACTAACGTTATCTAACATAACCTTGAGCGGTTGATAAGATACAAGGAAATTGAGTTAATATATGAATTTTTACCGTGATCATACAATTTCATGCATGTATAGGTTGTAGCCTAAGTCAATTCCAAATAAATTAACTTCAAATGCCATTCATGTTAGTCTTGTTATGGCAGCAAAAATGCCATGTACACAGTTATAAGCAGTTACCACATATAAGGTGTCCGAAACACCCCCCGCCAACCTCCCCCCCCCCCAATTCAAATGGAATGACGGCTTAATTCCAGCACAATGCTTTATCTTTAATAGATTAAAGATAATTTTAATTATGCTTTACTCTTATCGTTTGTATTTTCCTCTAATCAATCAATATCAGTGTTTAACCTCACACTGTTTAGTCACAGTTGTGTAGTTAATCTAAATCATTGCTATTAGGAGGAGATATTTTTCTATTTCACGTAATATATGATCAAAACCTCAGTTATATCTTCATGCAACACTAAAATTTTCAGCATTAAAAATGTTGTGCAAAACTGAAAAGTATCCACAAAGTATGTTTACTGTAAAATCTCAAAATATTGTGAAAATGAAAAGATTTCTCGGGATACGCCGAAAGGAAATGACACTTGAATCAAAGCTTCTTTTGTATTCATTTCAGTTATAATGGCGTTGCCATTATAACATTGTTGATAGCCGCATTATATTTTGTAATAACTCCTTTGTTTGGTGTTTTGCATTGACCAAATACAGTTCAAAACTTAGTTCACAACATAATCTAAAGAATAACGGTAAAATAAATGGATTTTGAGTGGTACGCCGAAAAGATTTTAGGTTTTGAGCGTTTTCCCGTCAAAATACGGGACATAATAAAAAATCTCCTCTTAATTAGCCTTAAAAAAGGACATTTTTGGAACAAATTTTCATGAAAATCGCGTTCACCGTAGTAGGTCAGCATCTTTGGTGTTATTTGTACACATTGCTCCGTTATTGAATGGCGCCTCGCTTTATAAATACCACATTTGGTTACGTTGGAACTGAAATCTAACACGTTGATCGCATGATCAAAAATGTTAATCAAAGAAACGATAGCTTCTATATATTATTAACAAAGCGCATTTGTCGGACGGAAGACAGTGGCTGTGTTTCGAAGATATCGTAAATGGATCGGGATAATTATGAAAGCAACCATTTTGATTATTGAAAGAACAATATATTGTAATTATTCAAATCATATTATATGCATGGTTACATTTTTTATGGTGATGCTATATCGGTCTACAATACGACTAAAAAATAGTCAAAAAATCAACTTTTCATCGATTTCAGGTTTGATTTAATTATAGGACTAATTTAAATTATAATCATCGACTAAAAATGAATGTAATTCATTGGTCTTCTAAAGTCCCAATTCTATGCTAAGATATTACTTGCATGTGAAATGATAATAACTTGTTCAATGATAATAACTACCTTTTTTCATACTCTATATATGTTTTACTTTCAAAAGTATTCAATAAAAGTAATGTGGTAATGAAGTATAAGATATGAAAATTCCGTATAATGGAGGATAATGTAGAGCTCAGCAGCAGTGGTAGGAATCTAAACATCGTGCAGTATTGCAGCTGCTGTGGTAATGAAAGTGTTGATATATTGATATATTGTTTCTTGGGTATATCGCGACTGTTTACTTTTAGTTTAAATGATCAACTTCTCACTTCGATAACTTTATTCGGAGTGCTCGATTTAGACCAAAATCATAGGGGATTGGAGCATGATTAAGACGTTTATCACAGACGTATGTACAGTGAGGTTTCAAAATAGTAAATTAACAAACTAATAAGTTTATGTAAAATTGAACACTTCCATTACCACGTATCATTAATATAGGCTATGCTCAACTCTATATGTCTACTTAGATTATGACCAACATTCCTTATAACCATCTTGTGGACTGTACGTATCCTTTTTGTTAGTTTCCATCGCTTCAGGGTGTGAAGTTCATGAGAGAATATGCCACCTTTTCCACGAGAAACACTGTTCGAATATAAACACGATGGTCGAGTTGTAAATATAAACGTTATAAACTCATATCCTTTTAATCCATTTGTAGTATTGCCACTGCTTTTCTAAAAGACGTCATTTTCAATCCTAAAAGAGGCATGTTATAATCTTGGGTGAAAGAGATCAGTATACACTTTTACTGCAGTCACTGTAAACCACGTGGTAAATATTGATGATTATACTGTTTGACTTTCATCTTTCACCTCATATTTCTGCGTTTTACGCAATCGCGCGTCTCTTTTCCGTTTTTACGCACGTTTTTAATTCACGTAACTTCGTCATTCTTAATTTCATTGTTTCCGTGTCCAGATTTTTTTGTATTCCGTTGAAACGGGCACATCCGCAAAGTTTTCCACAGAAACTTGGCAACTTTCCATTCCTTTGCAACTCGTGTTTATGTTACCCGTGATTTCCTTTTGATCTTCTTTTGACTGATTTTCTTGAACATTAAGCTTTCTTCAAAGCATACGAAATGTTCTCACGTGACGAGTTAGACCATGACTGCCTGCTAATTTGGGACGTACGCGTGGTCTTCTGTACAAGGCACGAAGACTCGAATCATTATAATTATCATATTTCTTCTTTCGTATTCTGGTGATAGCCAATAAAATGCGGATATTGTTTTTCCACCAGGTTATAGAATGTTGGTTAAAGGTCAATGTTTTTTCACTTAAAATAACAAAGTCCTGTGCTTTTTCACAATTTATAGCGAGTAATAGCTACTTTTTACTCGTATTAGATCGTATTAGAATTACACCCCAGGACCTTCCCGAGGTATACAGAAATTTAGTAATAAACACTGCTGAGAACAACGAAAAATTTGTTTACTCGAGAGAAATATTAACTTTTCGGATTTTAAAAAGAGTAAATATGAAGCTGCGAAGAGCTGGCGTTTTTCACCAGCATTTTTTCATTATCCTCCAATGAAAGTGAAATAACGCAATTATTTAATACCTTATTCATTCAAGTCTTTCACTTGGTTGTTTGTGATTGCGTTGCATCACATAAACATTTTCCATTTACTGACCGTGTAATGAATGTTTCCATTGCACTGTCAAGCTGTGCAAGTTTTTCTCAATGCACAGTTGCTTTCAAAGCATTAATCGTATCGTACTTGCACACATTTGATCACGAATCCGAACATGGAATTACTCATAAACACAAACCTGTTTATTCATTAGATCTATTTGGTGTTTTTTTTGGTGCTGTATGAAACGAATAATTCTCCTCGATGAATGGAATAATCCATCTTTCACCTGGTGAAAATATTCTTTATCACTGCGCTTGTAAACATTCATTACTAGTTTTACCATGTATGGAATTAATCAGAAACTGAGGGGAAAATTGTAAAATTTTCGCGCACGAAACAAGTATGTTCATCTTTGAAATATGAAAAAAAGACATTGGATAATTTTTGAAAAATACATGGAATTGTAGTTACATGATCCAGATGAAGTAGCATGCAGCATGGCAGCCTCTTCGATTTTCCAATTGATGAATTGGTTTATCAGCTATGTGATGATGCAACAAGAAAACTTCTCCTCTTTACCCCAAGAGTAGTGTTTCGCGGGCGCGGTGCTTATGCACCTGCATTCAAGGAGGTCTACTAAACTAAATCTAAGTTGCAGGTTGAATTATATACTTACACCAGAAGCCTGAAAGATCTTTGCGTGGTGGTCCCCATGCCATAGAATCGCTTGTTGCCTAACCAACACCAAACTCTTGAAAATAGCTGCTAATTGTGGTGAGAAGAAATTTCACATCAATTTAGTACTTCTGTTTGTACTGGCATTTGGAGAGGCGTGGAAAGTTACTTTGTTTACATAATCTTCGAAATTTAATTCGCTTAAATTTATAGCCAAATTCAACGAAATTTTAATCAATCTTTTAATGGTCGATAGGAAATTCACTCACAAAATTTGGTATGAGTACTTTAATTTTATTTATTTACACTTAATACACACACACACACAAACACACACACACATGTACAAACATAAAACCCAGATGTTTACATATCCTCCGGTTCAGGTAATTATTGTATGATCATGAACTATTTGGATACGTTAGCAATTCACATCTTGAATTTCATACAATCCTAAGTACATGATTACATTATTGAATAAAATATGTAATTCAAAATTTTACAGCCGGTATACTCTTCCATTCTGACTATTTTCTGTATTAGCGAGGACGAAAGATTTAAACAACCTGCAAATAATTATATTGAACAGAACCTGGAAGATTAATAACCTTCCTAAACTTGAACTACAGAATATACAATGATAACCTATTCTATGGTTTATCTTGCAGGTTAAGATTTGCAAGCGAACCAGTAAGTTCATCAGGTGGTAATACAACAAAATCAGAAAACATTTTGCGAGATTTCTCTCTTATCGTTTCGATATCATGTTTTTCAAGCATCACATCTTCTCCGTAGATTGTAAACGGAAAACGACCTACAAAGGATCGATGCGACTCTCTATCGTGATTTTCAAAGAGTTTCTTTGTCTTCTCTAGCGCTTCCCTGACTGATGAATTTTGCAGTAAATGATTATAAAATGCTTTTATAAACTCCGTTGTTGCATCATCGTCATTGTGCCTTAGTCTGGTAAGAACAGAGCGAGCTCCTGCTTCAAGAAAAGACAGAGCTAAAGTTTTAACACATTTTAGAGAGACTTTGTCTTGCCCAGAATAACGTAGGCATAAAACAACCAAGACAGCTTTCAAAGGAATGCCCCGAACGTTCTGTTGCGTTAAAAGATCCTGAGTGGAAGAACCTTGATTCCAGGAGACACATGGAGAAAGCATTATTGCACATTGATTAGGTTCAATATGTGCAGAAATATGGATAATACTTGCCCCGCTCAACAGTCCCAGCAAAACCTGTTTCCTGGCTTCGCCCTCCACGAAGGCCTTGGTTCTGAAAAGCTTTGACAGAGAATTAACCTCCTCGGTGACTTTAGGCAAGTCTGACGTTGGATTACCAACAAACAACGCAAAACCACACTCGGGTAGAGTTTCACTGGATTTTTCTCGGATCCTTTCAATGTCGCACCTTGTAAACATCACATCCTCTCCATAGAGAGTAAATGGAGCCCAAATTAAAAAGGAGCGGTAATATTCTCTTTCGTGTTGCTGAAAGAGGTTCATTGCCCTTCTTAAAGCTTCACAAACTGGTGTTTCCTGAAGCAGTTCGTTGTAGAATGCTTCCATAAACTCCTTTGTTGCGTCATCGCAAATGGGCCAGAGTGTGGCGAGAAGAGAGCGAGCTCCAGCAGCAAGAAAAGACCGAGCTATACCTATGACACCTTCTGAAGAAATCTCACCTTGCCCTGTGTGACAACAGCATAGGACGACCAAGCGAGTTCGTAATGAAATACTAGTAATATCATTCTGCGTGAGGAGATAGGAATCTGTATTAGGAAGAGAAGAAGATGGTTCGTTTAAAGAAAGGTCAGGAGCAAGCATTATTTCACCTCTCTCTGGTTCACCATGAGCAGCAATATGAATTATACTAGCACCGCTTAGAAGTCCGAGAACAAGCTGTTTTTTCGCTTCACCTTTTACCAGAGGCCTTGCTGCAAAAAGCTTTGCAAGACTTGCAACTTCCTCGGCTGCTTTGGGTAGGTCGGCAGGTGTTGAATCTGTGCCATAAAAAGAAACCTTTCCAACTTTTGGATTACCAACGAACAACGCAAAACCGAGGTCAGAGTCATGGGGTTGTTCTTTAGTGAACGTCAAAGTGTGTAATGAGGGCGTTACTTGAATGCTGTAACTCTGAGATAAATACCTCCCATTTTCATCAATCAATGAAGAAAAGGGAATAAAGAACAATTGCATGTCAGGAACAACAATGAGCTTATTTCCTTTGACGGCATCTCTTATCGGTTGAATGAGAAGATCGAACAGTTTTTTCAGAATAGTTTCATCGCTGGAATTATCGCCGCTCGGATTTTTTCCGTGCAAGTCTTCAAACGTTTCTTCTTTACACAGCTTGTTTCGCGGTGAGATCATGTGACTATCAAAACTATGTTCATTCGCAAGTGAATCAAGTTTAAAAAATGACGAATCTCGATTAACTTTGACGCTTGTCCTTGTGAAAAGCTCACTTATCAGGGGCATCAATATATGAGATGCTGCATCTGACATCAAGCACTTAAAGGTGACATCACTATTTAAAACCCAAACATTCAGAGCACTTATACTTTCAAAAGCAAATACCACTATTGAAGTTTTATCATTTTCAACCTGGAAAATTTTCTGTATTCGCTCTATTTCTTGATTTTCCTCCCCTTTCTCGATTTTGCTCCATATAGATTGTGCGTAAGGAAGCAATTCTGTATCTAAAATTTGTTTTCTTTCAATATAAAAATGAAGCCCTTTAGCTCTTCCCAGATCAATCACTAATAATCCGGATTCTATGCGCCCCCACCAAACAAAACAATTCATTAAAACCCTATGGGCTTTACAATAACGTTCGGTGAAGGTTAGTTTGTTCTCATCTGGGACTGTATTTCGGAACAGCTCATCTAAAATTGTAATAGATTCTACTAAATATGATGATGCAGCTTTATATTCTCCTAAACGCAGATGGATATGGCTAAGATCTTCATAACTATATGCTACCAGCTGCGAATTGCCAATATCCTTGCCTATTTTTAAACTTTTTCTACAATATTCAATGGCTTTTTCCTTATCCCCTAACCGTTCATATATAATGCCCATATTTCTATATATTTCCCCTATTACTTGTCGATCTCCAATAATAGTGGCAGTTTCTAAACCCCTTCGGACATACTTCATAGCCTCGTCGCATTTGCCGAGATTATAGTAACAAGATCCCACGTTTATATTGCCCACTGCTATTGCCCTTGGGTCGCCGTTTGCTACAAATAAGTCTAATGCTTTCTTGTAGTGGTTAATTGCTATTTGAAAAATTCCGCAAGAATAATAGATATTACCTAAACAGATATTGTTTCCTGCTATTATTGCAGAATCATCAATAGCCGTGCCAATTTCTATGCTTTTTTCTAAATAGTTAATGACCTTTTCGTTCTCTCCTAATATTTGGTAAACATGAATCAAACTTTGATTAGCTTTTGCTATACCAAATTGGTCATGGAGTATCATTGCCATCTCTAAGGTTGTTCTGAAGCAGTCGATGGCCTTGCTGTATTCTCCTAAGCCCATGTAAATATCACCTATTTTTTTACTGATACCTTTAATTTCTTTCTTGTCATCATTAGCATTATATATGTTTAAAGCTTGTTTGTAATAATCAAGTGCTTTTCTATTTTCACACAAACTATAATAGATTCCGCCCAAACGGTCTTTGCTATAAGCTATTCGTTTCTGGTTGCCAATAGCGGTTACAAGTCTTAACATTTCCTCAAAACAGTGAAGTGCCTCTTCATTCCTTCCTAGTTGACAGTAACGATGACCTAAACTGCCATTGGCTTCTGCTATTAGTCTTTGATCGCCCATTGCTACTGCCAAATCTAAAGTTTTCTTATGATGGCCAATTGCAATTTCCCACTTTCCTAGACAATAATAAATATCGCCTAAACTGTTACTATTTTCTACCATTAATGGCTGATCATCAATGGCCCTGCTAGCTTCCAAACTAACTTTCAAGTAACTAATAGCCGTTTCATAGTCATTTGATCTTTGGTAAACATCACCCAAATAGAAATTGGCCAGTGCTATACCTGATCGGTTATGGACCGCTTTTGCAATCTCTAAAGATTTTCTGAACCAGTCGATGGCCTTGCTGTATTCACCTAAATTCTTGTGAACTTTGCCCAAATTGATACTGATATATTCAATTTGTTTCTTTTGATCAATACATCTATATATGTTTAAAGCTCGTGTGTAATAATCAAGTGCTTTTCTGTTTTCCCCTAAACTGTAATAGATTCTGCCCAAACGGTCATTGCTATCAGCTATTCCTTTTTGGTCACCAATTGTGGTCATATGTCTTAACATTTCCTTAAAACAGTGAACTTCCTCTTTATTCCATCCTAGCTGCCCGTAACAATGACCTAAACTGCGATAGGCCTGTGCTATTATTCTTATATCGCGTATTGCTACTGCCAAATCTAAAGTTTTCTTATAATAGTCAATTGCAATTTCCCACTTTTCTAAACAGTAATAAATATTGCCTAAACTTATATTGTTATCCACCATTAATGACTGATCACTAATGGCTTTGCAAACTTCCACACTAACTTTGAAATGGTTGATAGCCTTTTCATAGTCTTTTAATCGTTGATAAACACCACCCAAACATGAATTACTGAGAGCTTTTCCTTTCAAGTCGCCAATAGCGGTCACAAATCTTAACATTTCTTCGAAATAGTGAAGCGCCTCTTTATTTCTTTCAAGTTGCTCGTAACAATGGCCCAAACTAAAATTCGCATTCGCTATATTTTTTTCATCGTCCATTGCTATTCCAAATTCTAACATTTTCTTAAAGTAGCCAACCGCTTTTTCACACTCATTTGAACATAAATAAATAAAACCTAAACTATTATTGTTTATTGCCATTAATAACTGATCACCAATAACCGTGCTTATTTCTAAACTTTCTTTTAAACAGCTAACAGCTTTTTCATAGTCTTCTGATTTTCGGTAAACATCACCCAAACGAAAACTGGCTTGCGCTATAACCGATTGATTACGGACCGCCTTTGCCATCTCTAAAGATTTTCTGAAACAATTGATGGCGTTGCCGTAATCACCCAAATTTTCGTGAACATCGCCCAAATCGATACTGATATTTAGAATTCCAATTTTATCATCAATAGAATGAAAGATGTTTAAAGTCTTTTTGAAATAATTGATTGCTTTTCTATACTCTTTTAAACTAAAAAAAACCTTGCCCAAATTTTCATTACTATATAAGCTATTCCTTTCTGGTCGCCAATAGCGGTCATAAGTCTTAACATTTGTTCGAAACATTGAACTGCCTCGTCGTTTCTTCCTAGCTTACGGTAACAACTGCCCAAATTGGAATTGATCTCTGCAATTCTACTTTGATCGCCGATTGCTGTTCCCAGTTCTAATGTTTCCTTATAACAGTCGATTGCGCTTTCCCACTTTTTTAAAGTATAATATATATCACCTAGAGTGTTACTGTTTTCTGCCACTAATGACTGATCACCATTGGCCCTGCTAATTTCTAAACTAGCTTTCAAATAGCTAATGGCCTTATCATGGTCTTTTATAGCTTCATAAAAACCACCTAAACCTCGATTATAAAGCGCTATTCCTTTCTGGTATCCAAATCCAATGGCAGAAATAATTCTTAACATTTTTAGCAACGGTGAAATTCCTGTTTATCTCTTCTGCTTTTACTATAAGTCTATAACGAAGCAGTGTGAGTGTCTAGCTTTTCTTAAGATATAGTTAATCGCCTTACCTGGTCTTTTAACACTATATTATAGATTTTCTCTACGTTGCTACGGAATTTTTGCAAAAAGTTCGACGAGATTGTTATATCACGGCAGTTAAGTTCGATATCCTTTTTTTATTTAAAATAGCATAATATGCGTCCAGCTCTACGCAGCAATGTGCTATTCCTAGTTAGTATAAAGTAGGCATGCAGTGCTTTAATCCAAAGCTAGTTTGTAGCATTTTATCGCCTTTTGTATAGATATTTATATTTTCATCGCCTTTTGTATTTTATTTTTATTACTATATATAATGCATTAGCATTATTGAATACTTACGTGGTGTACCTACAAGCTAATTTACTTACTTATTTCATGGTGATCACCATGCAAACGTACAAGAATATCATTGCCTTTTTATATATTCTTCAAATTTAGCATTGGTCGAGGTAATTCTGGATGATTACTTTCCCTACCTGATCGAATTCCATTACTTCATGTTCTTGGTTTTAAACCTGTAAGCTGTCTTCCCCAGTCTATAATATAGATATAATAATGTTGTTTAGGACGGGTAGGCTACATGTGAACACTTGCCTACCGGCCGATGCTCGCCGGCCACGAAAAGGTAGTTAACTTTTTAACTACAGTTAGTGACGGAATCGACCAAATAAAATCGTGTTTCTTGTCGTAAACTGTGAAGTAACTACCTAGTCAGGAGATTATACAACCAGGCCCAGTTTTCTATCTTTATTATGGCCCGAGTATTTGGAAAAGTGAATTATTGAAATCAGCTGTCAAAATATTCATAACTGGACGTATTCTGAATATGTCTTCACTTTTGGCACATAAACACTGGCAGTCTTCAGAAAAACAGATATGTTTCATATATAGCATTCCAACATCCTCTTCAGAGAAACTAAACTATTATTATATTTATCACGAACATATCCCCACTTGGCCTGAATTGGTTTTTGCCAGACGAAATGAATCGTAGAATCTCATTTTATAGTAGTTTGTGATTGTCGCATTGGGGTTCAGTACAAGGTGTGTAACAAAAAAGGTAACACTCGTCTACACTCAAATTTTTGGCATGGCACGGCTAAATTGGATACTCGTGCCTATCTCATTCGTGCCCAGCCTTTGTTTTGGTAGCCTGAGCACTAATAAAATTGGGCACGGGTACCCATTTTAGCCGTGCCGTGCCAATAGTGTGGTGTAAACAGGGCTATAATATTCATATTGTTATTAAGTTCGCTATAATATTCATATTGCTATTAATAGCACTTCTAATTGTGTATAGCTCACAAAGTGAGTATTTTTAATATTAAGTGGTTGCTTTTTATTAAAGACTAAAACCCCGTATAGACTCTAGCTCATGTGGCTTGCTTTCTGCCAGTTTAAGGTCAATCTACTATATAGTTACATGACTTTGTTGACTTGTTTGACATACTTCACAGAAAGTGTAATAAATAGCCCGTATTTGATCAAAAGAAGAAAATCATTACGTAAAATCTGAACACAAGGGCATGCAAGGGAAATGAAATGAGGTTTGTCGTGTCGTGTTAATTTGTTATAATTATGGAGTTTAAACTTCGCGTTTTCTGAGAACGGCAAACGACAAAGCCGAACTTTCTTGGCAGAATTTTCGTTTAACTTCTTTCGTCTCAGACTTTCTTTTTGATGTAAAAACATTTATTGTGCCTCGAGTTTTAAAATATAGAATTAATTCGCTCTTTAACAGCAGCTATTTTTTAGCATGAAGAACATGCCGCACATATACGAGATCACTTTAGGTGTTAATGGTTAGCACAATGTCAAGTCATTGTATAGAATGTCCTTAGCTCAAGTGAACGCTAGGCGACCATTTTGTTTTTACTTTGTCTTTGAAACTGTGAGTTACGTCAGTTCCTGACGTCGACGTGCAAAGTAGGAGAAAAATTTTTTCGCAAAACTATCGTGATCCTAAATTGCTCTTCCCTCACGAACTAAATCATTTTGTAAAATATCAACACGTTGAAGACTGATTTGACAAAAGCCATGTAAAGGAAAGGCACAGTTTGTAGGGTTACTGTATGCTAATTTGTTATATTGAGTGCATGTAACCTCATCAATTACACACTTATTAAAGTTTAATTACAGAGCATGCCACGCACATACAAAATTACAAATTTACGTGCGGTTGGTCTGCCCAAGTCATGTCAAATGACTCAAATCATTGTAATATATTATTTGATGTATGAGATTCAAACTTTCTAAGGCTAAATGGGTTATAACCGAGACATCACAAATAGAAATTCGCTTAGCAACCATCTTTTTTTATTTTGTCTTTGAAACAGGAATGTTAATTCGTGGGTCGAGAAATAAAGAGTCAGTCTTCGTGACAGAGGAAGTCGATCGATGTTCAAAACAATTCAGTGACTGACCGTCATACGGTCACACACCAGTCTGCATGCAACCAGTGTAAGGAGTAAGAGTAAAACATTCATAGATGGTTTGAAACCTTGCATGCCTTGTAATAAAGAAACTTACTTAGAACGTACTCCTTATCTTTTAAAACTCTTTTAACTATACCCAAGAATGTCAACAATTTTCAAAACATATCTTCATCATATTCATTAAATTTACTGCATTTCTTTGAACTTTACATTCGCGTACTTACAATCATTGGGTTTGTCAATATTCACTGGTTAGCTGGGATGGCTTACAATCTTTCATTTGCGGCACAATTTTAAACGAAAGGTTGAAAACGTAATAATATAAAACAAACAAAGACACGGCTCGTTTTTGACTGAAGAAATCAAATTAAGATCGATCGTGAGAAAGACAATTCAGTTAAAAATAAAAGCGCAAGCAATTTAACAATGTCAATAAGAAACTATACGTCGTACTTACCTCATATTTTCAGCTTTCTATTCCCTTTCACCTTTCATACTAACTACTAAGATGTTCCACCACAGACTAAAATTATTCCGTATTATCACTCTTTTTATACAGCTGTCTTACAAAGCTGTCTTTGAGAGGTCGGGAGAGGACAGTCCGTGAACATTCAGTTTAATATGAATATTTAGTGCTACGAAACGATTACGTTGTTGAAGAAGCTGTCGTTGTTGCTAGACCTATCACATTGCTGGATTTTTATTCGCCCGTGCAAATTAGGCGAATTCGTACACGCGAATAAAAATCCATACTATTCATGCAAGGGGCAGATTCAGTGCGACTGATGAATTGGAAACCTATAAAAAATATTGCCGTATACCCAATGAATTGTGCATGAGCGCATATCAGAGTTAAGCCTCGTACAGACGAGCAAGTTTTCTTTGACAAGTTTTCTTGACCAGTTCACTTGCTGGTGTGTATGGCGAACAAGTTTTCGTTGACAAGTTTTCCTTGCCAAGTTTTATTGACAAGTTTTACGATAATATGAGTATATTTTAGGATAATATGAGCCATGATAAAATGAGTATACGATCGAATTTCAAAACAAACAGAAATGATAAGTAAAATTTCAAAAACCCGCTCGATTGGTTCTAGGATTGTTGCGCTGTTCCCTATTGCGCAATTCCTTGTCAAGTCTTCCTTGACGGCCGTACACACGAGCATTTTTCCTTGTTGAAAAACTCGCATGACTAGCTTTCGAACAAGGCTCCTTGTTAAGGAAAACTTGTCAATTTCTTCGGGTACACACGAGCAAATAAAACTTAAATAGGAAAACTTGCCCGTTTGTACGGGGCTTTACAGTGGGTACCCTCTCTCCTCCGCAGAGGCTTCGAATGAAAATGCGCTAGATGATGCTAGATGATAACACGTAAATATGACCGCTGCTGAAATTAGTAACGCGCGCGGAAGAGGGAATCTTTACGGTCATATTTAAACATTGAACTGTCTTTAAAATACGTGTTATCATCTAGCGCATTTGCATTCGAAGCCTCTGCGGAGAAGAGGTCAAGAGAGGTGGGTAATGACAAATTATTGAGCACTCTCTAGTATTTCGTAAACCAAACGACTGATTTAAATCTATAATTATAATTATAAACATATGTATATATACGATATCTTGAATTCTGCTACTTAAAAACAGCCGAGTCCCAGTCATAGACATAGTTATTCTTCGCATCACAGTTTTAGAAGAGTTTTACTGGATGTAAGGAGTTTTGACTTACATTCCAAGGAATTTTACAAGTTGGAAGTGAGATTGCCGCCATAATTTTGAATTTATTCTCGCACGTGCACGTTGTTCTTTAAATGCGCATGATCTTGCTTACTCTTGCAACCTGACAACAAATGAAATCTTTTAACATTATCCGA